GAGGCATTTTATAGTCTCCACGGAAGGTGTGGGGTGTGGTTAGAAGAGAAAATTTACACTCCAGCTCCCTTCCAAATTCTCATCACAGATGCCTGGCATCTCAAAGTCTTGCCACCCAGCCCCCTTGCCTGATATTTTTTACTCTTGACAGTCCCCCAACCCCGCATCTGTCCAGGAACTGGCTTGTCCTTTCGACTCTGCATCTGAATCATCACAAGTAAAAACCACATGACCTGGCTGTCACAGACCAACCAACAGGAGCAAGATGCCTCCTTCCCAAGAAAACTTCACTCTGACTAACCACTGACCGGGCATGCTGCAGAGCCCCTAGTCAGGGAATAGACCTAAAATGTTATCTTTCTCTATAGGCCTATTGGTTGGGGTGATCAGTTATAAGGCATATAAATGTCTAATCACTATCTTATACACCTGAAACTAATGTCAACTGTAACCAAAAATTTAAAAATATTAGAAAAAGAAAGAATGAGGTGATGATGGTGGAGGTGGGATGTTGATCACAGTTCTTCTGATCCTCTCCATAGCTTCCCCATCTCAGCACATGTTGGAGACATCCTGTAGAAAGAAAAGACCAAAGACACAAGCAAAAACTATCTTTATTATGTGGGAAGCAGGGTGTCACAGGCAGAGGGGTCTTGAGAAGGTTTGATCTGAATGAGAACTGGTAGAGGTTTGCTAGTTTTATTGCCTTCACAGTCCCCAGTCTGAGATCTTGGCCTCCTTTACTTAGAGAAGGTGGTAGGGTGGGCAGTGGTCCACCCTACATCATTGTACTGGCAATTACATGTGGTTTCCCCCTGTATATCCTGGGTACCACAGGCATAGCCACATGAGCATCTGGTGATGATGTACCCTGCATGGCATGGGATAGGGACGGAAAACCACAGCCCTCAGAATTTGAGAGAGGCCTTCCGCTAATTACCCATTGTCTCCTTCCTTCTGACAGGGCAGAACAGTGTGGGATTAGGGTGGGAGGTAGATGGAGTAGGAGGTAGATGACATGGTGAGGCATTGGTGGAAAGAAAAGGTTGCGGTAGGTGAGATAAAGGAAGGGGAAAGGGAGTGGAAAGAAACCTCTGATTCCTAAGTAGCCCCTTGGAGGGGAAGGATGGAAAGTAAATTAATGGTATTGAAGTTGTGATTCGACCCAACAACATTACATTCCTGAAGTTGGGGATAACCTGCTGGTATCCCGGGCCCAGGAACATGAGAATGGGTGTGGGGTGAGCGAGCACCTTTTCCTCATATAACTACTCAACTTGAAGGGCAGGATGACTGACTACTTTCATTAGTGATGCTGGTAGAGATGAGGGCTGGGGCCCAAACTGGCCAGACCCTTTCCTCAAACCCCACATCACCTTTATGCTCATACAAAGGAGTCACTGCGTCCAGGATCGAGTAACTCAATAGCTGTGTGCTGTTGGCAAAAGTATGTAACTTTTTGAAGCCTCGGTTTCTTCTTTTGTAAAATGGAAATAAGAGTGCTCACCTCACAGAGCTGTACTGAGGAGTTAATAAAATAATGAAGGAACACTTAACAGTGCCTAGCACATAGTACGTGCTCAGGAGTATTAGGTGCAGGCTTCCTCTTTGCATCACCAGCAACTCTAAGCACCAATAAGGCATGGAGAGGGCAGGGGCTTTGAGATGGATCTTCCCATTACAGGTTGTCCTCTGGAGATGAGTTGGGAAATGGAGTGGGGTCTGGTAGCAGGACTGAGCATCAGGGATAAAATTGCCCCCCATTCTCTCGCCCTCTCCAATATCAGCCACCCAGTTCACTGAGCGGTGCCCTTATCTTTTCATTCATAGCAAAATCTAAGAAATGTTGGGCATCCCCCGAGCTCATCAGTTGGAGAAGGGCAGAGAGAAGGAGGTGAGGAGAAGGCTTCATCCTGCAGAAGACAGCATCCTGTGAAGACAGGAAAAATGGACAGAAGATGAAGAACAACTTCTGGGTCCAGAGTGGAGGGGATAGGAGGGCAAGGAGAAAATAAAGTAGAAATAGGTGTTCATGGGAGAAAGGGGAGGGAAGCAGCAGGGCCAAGGCAGCCTGGATCTCTTTGCAGCACTCTCAGGAAGCAAGTGACAGGGAAGAGAGTCGTCGGTCACACTCACCCAGCCAAGCTTAGGAAAGGGCTGCTGAGGTGCAGAAAAGAGGGTTGTGTTACACCCTGGTGTAGTGTTATGAGGGTAGTCCCTTGTCCTTACCAACAAACACTGCCAGTAGTTGTGATCTAAGATAGCTAGGGAGGGTCAAAACTTCAGAAAGAGCCTGAAATAATCGGTGTGTGTCTGGAGGGAATACTAACTGCTTTTGCTCTGGTTCTCTGCCTAGGGAAGTCATTTTGCCTTTCTGTTTCCCTTCTGCTCCTTCTTGTCAGCCCCACAAGCCTGGCAGTTGCCTGACAGGAATTGCCAAGTTTGCTGACAACTCTCATTATAGACTTTTTGTTCATTCCTTCAACAAGAAGAGACAGGAAAGGTGTAATCTAAGAGCCCTGGTTGTCATTTGCTCAGATACCGTTCCATTGCCCTTGACTAATTCTGTCCATGGGAAGTAACAAAAATTTCAGCTGGTAAAGGCTTAAAATTAGAATAGAGGCTCCATGAAGTCAGTAATCCTTGTACATTTTAGCTTCTACTATATCCCAATGCCTGTCACAGAACAGAACTCAATAAATATTTGTAAAATGAATTAACATAAACACTTATTATTCATTTATGAAGAAATAAGGTTCAATGATTCTAGACTTAGTTCAGTGGCTGAATAACGTTATTATGGCCTCAGGTTTTTTTTTCCTGTTTCTACTTCACAGTCCTTATAATTTTTCCTCAAAAGTCACAGAATCATCAACTAACTCCTTGGTGACAACTCCAGACCTTACATCCTCATACCAACATTCAAAGCAACAAGGGTTATGGATGACTTTGAATCTCTGATTTTTATGCAGGAAAAAAACTTTTTGGGGGGAGCTCCAAGCAGAGCTCTTTTCTGTCTTCTTGGACTGATTTTGGTCACGTGCCACAACTCTGCTCCATACAAAGGTGTCTGGGAGCTTGGTTATTGGCTTAAACTTATTGGCTAAAACAATAATTTCTCATTCAGGACTGGGCACATGAGTACCCTGAATAAAATAAGGATACCTTTAACACAGAAAGGGAAAATGCATCACTAGGTGGACAATGAACAGTTATCAGCAGGAGCTACAAAATCTGATTTCTGCTTCCAGTGCTGGCAGCCTCTTTAGCCTCCATCGTCTCTTTCTGGCTTTCTCTTTCAAAGAGATTCCCTCTGATGTAGTTATTTCTCCTGCAAGCACCTTGAGAATAGAACCAAGGGATCCATTAAAACAATGTCTGTCTTTCACAGACCAAGGTTGAGGTAAAGTAAAAGGAATAGAAAACAAGAGAGAAAGTGAACTAGGACTCAGAGTTGGACTTGGGAGTAACTAATTCATCATTCATTATAGCTCCTCCATGGGCCAGGCACTGGGAATTCAATGACATGCAAATTAAGTAAGATTTCATCTTTCATAGATCACATGTCCTAAGGGAGGAGATAAACATTTACAGATGAGTATATATTATAATGTCAGGACTAAGAAGCATTTAAAAAAGGGCGAGGGCAAGAGATAAAGCATGACGGAAAGGCTTCTCTGGAAAATATTGAGAACTGACCTTCTGTGTGGAAAACAATGTAACCATTTAGGGGACGCAGAGTGGAAAGGCCCTGAGGTAGAAGTGTGGCTACAACTCATAGGAATGCCAAGAATGCAGGTGTGGCCAGGGTGAAGTGAGCATGGATCAGAAATGAGGTCAGAGATGTAACCACTGGCTAGGTGCATGGATTTCTGGGCCATGGTAAACACTTGGGATTTTATTTTATATGTAATGAGAAGTCTTTAGAAGTGTACTTTGGATAGGGAAGTAACGCAACTTGGTTTATTTTTTTAAAACTCACTCTAGCTGCCATAAATAGGAGTATATATAATTACTGCAATGATTAATAGTACATGGACAAAACATAACAAATTGTGATAAGTGTTAAATAAACACAAATGTCATCTTTTATAAAAGTATGTGTTAAATGAGAGAGATGAAACTGCTTTCCCCCAAGTATTTTATATACACATGAATAAATAATCCTAGAGAGAAATAAAGTTTAGAACCCATTATATCCCTACTTTTTCTTTTCATAGTTATAAGCTTTGAGACCACTTCATAAGTAAGTAGGAAGGGGAAATTTTGTTACAGTAATGTCCTTCAATTTGTTTAAATTCCTTATGCATTATTAGTTAAAAATCACACTATAACTTATTACTAAAAATTATTTTGATGGTCTACCCATTAATAACTGGATTGTGTCCTTTTTCAGTATTGAGTCAAAAACTGGAAGCTTCCCTACTTGTAAAAGACTTGTTATGCACTCACTGAGTCACTCACCATTGGCAGCGATTTTTTGAATCATTTTTTTGACATTCTGCTGATTTTTATACCTGAGGGCAAGGAACCATGGGAGGGTTCAATGACAAGTAAAGGCTTGTTTTTTGTTTGCTATGGGGGAGAAGTATAATGGCAATTTTATTACCATGATCAAAGTGATAATGCATAGAAAACAGTACCTATACAAATAAAAAATCTAGAAATTGACTATTTTAAAACTGCCTTTGTCCACCTCCCCCTTGGAAAATTCTGCCTGCAACTAGTTTGCAGCCCGCTGTGCTAGTTGGTATGGTTCACAAGGATATGCGTGTTATTTTCTTTCTTTGTACCTCTACTGCCAAGGAAAGTGCCTGGCACAAAGTAAGTATCCTTTTTTTAAATAGTAAAAGAAATGTAGTGTCCATTTCAGTTTTCCCCATTTTCCTCATATTTTTCCTAATTCTTGTTAAGAGGGAGTTACTGGGATGCTAGAAACATTTTCTGGCTAAAGGAGTCCTGAGCCAAAAGTGGTAACATCAAAAATATGTACACAGAGAGATGCAAAAGTTGCCTTTATTATCCAAGAAGCTGGGTTGTAACAAAGGAAGGGGCAGTTTTAGGAATGAAATGAAGGAGATTTCCTGTTTGTGGTCATGGTTTCATTCCAGTCATGGCCACACTTTCGGGTTCTCATCCTCATCCTTGTTGGGTCAGGCGGCAGCAGCGGGCAGCGGCCCAGTCTACCACGCTGCACTGGCAGTGGCACGTGGTTTCCCCTCGGATATCCCAGGAACCACAGGCATAGCCACAAGCACAGCCGGTGACAACATTCCCTGCATGGGCACGTAAGACATGGATGTCTGAGCCCTGAGATTTTGAGAGAAGGGAGGTCTACCCATAACCATCTTTCATCCCTGCACAGCCCAGAGGTTGTGTAGGGCCTAAAGTTAATTCAGTTGTGAAGGTCCTCTTTAAGAAAAAAAATACCGAAACAAATTTAGGCATATGACCACGGAGGAGATCTATGAAAGTGAGGGGCCTAGGTGTTCTGTTCCTTCAGATTCATGGTGAATTCAATTCGTGTTGCTGCCTCTACCTATCAAAACAGGGCAATAGGTTGAAAAAGGGAGATAAATGACAAGGGACTTGGCAGGTGATAGGGCTATAGCAGGACAGTTGAGAAGAAGGCTTATATACTAGGTCATGAAAGGAACGTGGGAAGGGAAGAGACAGAAACCCAAGATCCCTCGGTAGCATTTTTAAGGGAAATGAGAATGGGTGAGCCACCTCTGGGAGCCAGGAGTCAAGACTCAGTACCAGGCAAACACAAATGTGGGTAGAGGGAAGTTGAAGGTGCTGGGGATAGACAGGGAAGGGCATAGGGCATCCTACCCACCATCCTTCCTCATGGCATTACTCACCTACAGGGCAGGAGGCCAGTCTGCCAGAGCTGGTGACACTGGTACACGACATCTTTAGTCGGGGAGAAGGATTGAACTCTGAGTAGGAGAGAAGAAACAGTGTTGCCCATGATCTCTGTTTCCCATGATGCCCTTCTAAATCCCCTTCTTCCTGAGAGGTATCCCTGTGTCCATAATCAGGCTACTACCTAGGGTTAGTGTTTAGTGGCCTCATTTTTAAAATGAAAGTAATAGTTGTACTTACCTCAGAAAGTGAAAATTAAATGAAGTAATCTATATAAGGCTTTTTATCATACTTCATTCATAATGAGTGTTCATAAATTATTGCTATCTTCCCCTCCTCCTCCTCCCCCTCAACATCAATATCATTATCATCAAGGAAACTCGAACTTTCAGTACAAAGAGATAGGAGAGTGGGAAAGCCCTGGACAGGAGTCTTAGGCTTGAGTGGACTGATTACAAGTTGGGATCTGAGGACAGGGACAGAGGGGAAGCTAGCATTTAAGAGCAGGAGGCATGATCAGGGGTTACCCTTCTGCTTCACCCAATTGCTGTCAGTTACCCAGATCTTGGAGAGCTTCATTTATCCTTTCATCCACAATGGAGTCTAAAGAACACTCAGTGTTCCCTACACTCCGCTGAAGAAGGAGGATGGTGATGAGAAGGCAGCAAGTAGACTTCATCCTATGGAAAGGCAGTGTCCTGGGGCTGGGAGGAAAGATTGGAAAGAAGCTGAGGTCTCTGAGCTCCAGTGTGGTTTAGAAAAAAAGAGAGAAGAGAATGTGGAGAGTCTCAAGGTAGCACACATGGAGAAATGGCAGAGTCCGTATGGAGTCTGGATTTCTCTAAGAAGTCTAGAGAAGCAGGGAAAGTGGCTGCAAAGAGGACTCACTCACCAATAAATTCAGAAAAGTTCTGCAAAGACTCTTCAGGCAAGGATGTTTTATAGCTCGTGGTGTTGACTGGGCACCCCTTAACACACAAGCATTGACACACATACAAACACACTGCCTAGTATTTTCAGAGAACTGTGCCAGCTGGCGTGCACCACACCACAGTGATAAACTTTGTCTGCCTTGTTCTGCTTCTGTAGTGCCAAGGGGAATTCCCCTGCCTTCTGCTCCTCCCTGTTTTCTTCTTGGCAACCTGTTGAGGCCAGCACCTGGAGTTTCTGTTGACTGCCCCATATTATAGGCCTCTTGTTTGGTTCTTTATCAGTAAAAGGTTACTTCATGGTATGCGGACCTCTTAAGACATTATTTCCTTGTCCCTGGCTAATCCCACCTGTGGGAAAGTGACAGAAAATCCGATGACCACTGATTTACAAACAAGGAAGTGTACTAGTTCCTTGACCAGAAGCATGGTACTCGATTCCAGGGTTCTTTTGGAGACTCACCAGGATCATTACCAGCCTGATCTTTTCCCCTTTTCTCTACCATTCTCAGTTTATTGTCTTTCCATCCGTGATCTTGTCTCATCATGCTCACAAGGGGGCAGGCATCACATTGTCAGTGGAGACCCTGGGCAGGAAGAGAGGATTGGCATATGACCATTCTCTAGGGCTTTGCCTTTCCATTTTGGAAGCATGATTTTCCTCTAGAAGCTCAGGCAGATTTTTTCCTACATTTCATTATTCAGTTCTGGGTCATAGACTTCCTTTTCCAACATATATGGCTGAGAAATCAAGTAGGGACTCCATAATCCCTACTTAAGGCCACTGGGCCCAGATGTGTTTAAGAACTTAGATTTTTTTCAGGTTTTAGTAAGTTAAAAATTACAAATTATGTATATTACACTATACTACTAAGAAGGTTGAGGAAACCTTCTGTAATCAAACATATTAATAAATCTCCTGCAAAAATAAATGAATATTCACAAAACATGTGATATAGACCATAATTAGCCTGACGCCAGGCCATGTCAGGTTTTGCTGCCAAATGAGTTAGCTTCAAACTTAGGGAAAATGTATTAGGCTTTCAGAGACTTTTAGGTTTTGGAATAATGAATAAAGGATTGAATCTCATGATTCAAGAGCAAGATGAGGACTCAGAGGCTGTGTCTTGGAGGTGGTCAGAGGTGGAGAGCCTGGCTCTGCCCCTGCTTTGCCAGTTTTGCCCTTGTCCCTTCCCTAGAGATGCCCTCTGAGGCACAAGAAGTTATTTCTTCTACAAATCTCTTTCGGGAAACTTTGAGAGTAGGGCTCAGTGATGGGAACAAAAAGGCAAGGACACTTTCTTAATTGCCAGATAGAAGGTGGGTAAAGGACTGATTGAGAAGAGCAAGAAAGAGCACAGACTTGGATTTGGTATAGAAGTTGGATAAATTAATTTATGGTTAATTTAATGACTAATTATATAACTTCTCTGTACCACTTCTAGTTCTGGTGACTCAGCAATGGGAAACATAGGCAAAGTCCTTGCCCTCTTGAGACTACATTGTAATGTGGGAGATAAATATGTAATATGTCATATATTTAAAAAATCCCCCGAAAAAGTAAATCAAGGCAAGTGTGTACTGTTGTACACAATGCATTATGTTCAGGGATGGCATCTCAGAAAAGGTAACCTATGAGCAATGACCTGAAGACATGCACATGGAGAAAGGGGAAGAGCTGGAGCAAATGTCCCAGGTTAAGGCGCAAGCACGTGTAAAAAGCCTAAGGCAAGGACATGGTTGGCATGTTGAAGGAACAGCTACAAAGGCAATGTGACCAGAGTGAAGGAAGTGAATAAGGAAAAGAAAAGTTAGAAAACAGGTAAAAAAATAAAAATTACAACCAGTGCCAGATTATACAGGGCTTCTTAAACCAACATAAGGGCTTTGGACTTTGTTGTAAACTTGAAAGGTCATTACTGGAGTGTTTTTCTCATGAGACACAAGATGATTCACATTTTATAGAGCTTACTAAGGCCCCTATTGTGGAAAAGAGACCGGAGGGAAAACAGATAAGCCAGGAAACCAGACTTTGGGTTTTTGCAGATATTTAGGGCTCAGATGGTAGTCAGGGAAGGAGTGAGAATTGGATGTGTTTCAGTTAGATATAGAAGGTTGAGCCTCGTTAGGGTTTACTGATGGACTGGCTGTGGGGTGTAGGGGAAAGAGAGTGGAGAAAGATGAAGGCTATGTTCTGAACAACTTGCTGAATACTGATGCCATTTGCTGAAATGGGGGCTCCTAAGGAAAGAGTATATATCACAAAACATTATATCTTATTTGATGATGATCAACCTAACATGCCTATTAAACATCTACACAGAGGTGTAGCATAAGGAGTTGGGTATATAAGTTCAGGGTTTAGGAGAAAGGTGAGAGTCAAAGATATAAATTTGAGAGTAGTCTGTACACACAGAGGGATATAATAGCATACAAAAATTTAAAAAGGAGAGAGAGAGAGAAATCAAGCTGTGGCCAGATGGGTCAGTTGGTTGGAGCATTGTCCCTACACCAATACTTTGCGGGTTCGGTTCCTGGTCAAAAAACATACATAGGTTGCAGGTTCTATCCCTGGTTTGGGTGCATACAGGAGGACCCTGATCCAATGTTTCTCTCTCACATCAATGTTTCTATCTTTCTCCCCCTCTCTCTCTCTCACACACACACAAATTAATAAAATTAAAATTTAAAAGGAGAGAAGTTTTAAAAAATTTAAGGCTCAGGCAAAGAAGATGATAAATTGGAAAGTGGATGACTAGAAAGACATTGATTAACAAATATGAATTGAGTTGCACTGAATAATGAATTTGTTGAGAGTGGCAGGGAAAGAAAAGAGAACAGGGTCACACAAGAGTGTTCTTAAACTGAGCCTGGACAGCGGGGATCATGACAGTCACCTGGATAACACTTGTGGTCAGTGGAATGCCTAGAGTGTTTGATACAGAGAGGGGATCATGCATGTCTTTTTAATCCTCACCCAACGACATGCTTATTGATTTGAGAGAGGAGGGGAGGGAGGGAGAGAGATAAGGAAAGAAACATTGATGTGAGAAAGAAACATTGGTCAGCTGCTTCTCACACAAGCCCCCAGAGACTGAACCAGAAACCCATCCATGTGCTCTGACTGGGGATCCAACATGTGACCTTTCAGTTTACAGGATGACACTCCAACCAACTGTGGGGCACCAGCCAGAAGGAATCACTTTTAACACCTCTGTCTTTTATATAACAAAATTATTTCCAGTAATCATTATGCAATGGACATTAATAATTATTATTTTTATTATTATCTGGTTTTAAAACAAAAAATAACTATTAAAAGAATGAATGTGAATTTTAAATATTGCTTAACATTTAGTATAATATTTTTGTGTGAACTAAAATTTACACTTACCAAACAAAAATATTCTAGCTCTTAGTTTTGGAAGCTCTTTGAATTTATATTTTGAACACAAAATCTTCATAATCATACAGAATGACCCAATTGATATAATTCAAGTTCTGTTAATTTGTCTTTACAATCACTGGGTTGTCACTGCTTATTCAAAATCTACTATTTAACTGCAGAAATATGTAGTGGTATAGGTATTGGTGACACAAATGAATTGGTGACACAAACTTGAATATTTCTGGACTGTTAAGAAATAATTTACTTTAAAAATGAAAGCATATAGAGTTCCGGGCAAGATGGAGGCATTGGTGGAAACCCTTTGCTTCCTTACACAACCAAAAAGAGGATAATAACCAGTCTAAAATCAATAAACAGCCAGAAGTGCCAGAAAATCAAACTGCATAGAATTCTGACAACCAAAGAATTAAACAGTCAACCAGTCCAACCAGACCAGTAAGATGGTGGACAGAGAAAACCTGAGGCAAGGCGGCAGATCACATGGGTGGGACTGACTGAATAGGAAACTGAGACTCAGAGGTGGCTGTGGAATAAGCAGGGGTTGCCACAGTGGGAGAAACTCCCAGTCTCACACGAGAGTTGGTTGGAAAGTACGCTAGAGATGAGCTAGCAAGCTGCACTGTTCCCTCTCTGGCCCCTCCCTGACAGACAGCACCATGCACAGCAAAGAGGGTCACGCTGCCTGGGTGAATACTTAAGGCCCCACCCCCTTGCATCTTAACAGGTGCTCCAAGACAAAGAAATATGACCCAAATGAAAGAACAGAGCAAACTTCCAGAAAGAGAACTAAGCCATGAGGAGATAGCCAACCTATCTGATGGAGAGTTGAAAGCCCTGGTAATCAAAAATGCTCGCAGATCTGATTCAGCTTGGTTGAAAAATGAAAAAACAAATGAAGGATACCCAAAGTGAAATAAAGCAAAATATTCAGGGAACCAGCAGTGACAGGAAGGAAACCAGGACTCAAATCAACACTTTGAAACAAAGGGAAGAAATAAACATCAATCCAGAACAAAGTGAAACAAGAATTCAAAAAAGTGAAGAGTCTTACAAAGCTCTGGGATAACCTGAAACATTCCAATATCCAAATTATAGGGGTGCCAGAAGGAGAAGAACAACAGCAAGAAATCGAACACTTATTTGAACAAATAATGAAGGAGAACTTCCTTCCCCAATCTGGCAAAGGAAATAGACTTCCAGGAAGTCCAGGAAGCCCAGAGAGTCCCAAAGTAGTTGGACCCGAAGAGGAACACACCAAGACACATCATCATTAAGTTACCCAAGATTAAAGATAAAGAAAGAATCTCAAAGCACCAAGAGGGAAGGAGAGAGTTACCTACAAAGGAGTACTCGCAAGACTATCAGCTGATTTTTCAAAAGAAACCTTGTAGGCAAGAAGGGGCTGGAAAGAAGTATTTGAAGTCATAAAAGGCAAGAACCTACATCCAAGAATACTCTATCCAGCAAAGCTATCATTTAGAATGGAAGGGCAGATAAAGTGGCTCCCAGATAAGGTCAAATTAAAGGAGTTCATCATCATCAAGCCCTTCTTATATGAAATGTTAAAGGGACTTATCTAAGAAATTGAAGAAAATAAAAAATATGAACAGTAAAATGACAAAAAACT